CATCCTCACCACCTAATAGGGATTTATAAGGAAGCACTTGAATTAGATTTCATTCTGCTGCGAGCAGTAGGATCAAACCAAGCTGTCCTATAGTGAGGCAACCGACAACGCCGAGCTCCCCATAGTGGGGCAAATTTCTCAAGCCGTACAATCAGCACAGCTCATTTGAAATCACAACTCACACACAAGTCACACGCGATGGCACATGACCCATGGAAGAAAAAGTACAAGTATATTAAGGACTACTCACAATTAGAAACAGCTAAGCAACTCACAACAAGTATTGGGAATGATAAATTAAAGATGCAACACCTTGCGTAGAGGGTGAGGATGGTCTTCCAATGAAACACTCAAACTCTTTCAATTATGCAATTCGGAAAATGTAACGAGTGGTTTTATTTCGCGCCAAATTTCATTAAAAAATTCAAAATTTCTTGTCATGATAGTGCAGGTCACCCTGTATATTTCATTATTTGTTCCGGTTAGAAATTTTGTGTTTGGGCATTTCGGTTCGCTCAAGACTATGGTCCGATAGATTTAATTTCGCTCAGATTTAATTTCGTCGTGGGAAGATTGCAAAGTTGATTGACGTCATCATGAGTAATGCGAATTTTGTCGTTCGTTTATCACCCAAGGCGCCGTCTAGACCGAGAATAGGAGCGGATATAGCACCGAGCCATCAAGGGATAAGGGGTCTTCATTTCGTCAGCAGAAAACCGTGAGATCAGCTTATTCAGCAGTTCCTGGAGGTTGACGACGAAGTTAGAGTGGGTTAAGTCTTCTTTATCTAAACCAATGGGAGAATTTCTAACGGGAGCCATTTTTGTTTTATGGTAATTTGGGTTCAATTCTGAAGAAGGGGATCGTTTTGGGAATACTCGCGGTTAGTACGTCAAGGGGTCAACACGTACCTTGAGTGATCGTTTTGGGGAGACTCGCGGTTAGTACGTCAAGGGGTCAACACGTACCTTGGGTGATCGTTTTTTGGGGGTACCTAGCGGTTTGAGCCACCGGTTTATTTCGGTTGCTCGCAGTTGCGTGCTTTTTACACCCGTTTCGAAGTGTTATTTTCTTTTCGCGTTGATTTTTTGGCGACGAAGACCCAGGTTCCGATCAGGTGATATTTAGGCGAACCCTTGAGCTTCACCCCAGTTTACTTTGGATGCAGTGAATCGCGTTAGGATACGTTGTGATTTCTCGAGGATATATAATTCAAAGTGCTGCCCTAATCCTCAAGGCGCCGATATTCGGGATCCGCCCCAGGTGGAATTTCCTACCAGTGCCGTACGGTCATTTGTCGAAGGAGCGCTGCGTTTTGGAGAGATATTTGCCCCAAGAAGAGCTGGTGAAATAATAAGTCGAACCACCCAAGAACAAATCGCGGTTTACCGTCGGATAGTGATCATAAAAATTTGTGTTCTGCCGTGCCGCTAACTCAAAAATCTGTCTCCCGCAGGCGATCAAAGTTAATAAACTCTAAGAGCCGGTGGAAGGAAATAGTAGGGGTCACTGTTTAAATTAAATACACCGCTGTGTAGAAACTTTGGCAACTAGCCGTCTCCCACTCGCCACGCGAAGGATTTCCTGGACTGAGCTTCAGTTCAAACACTAAACTTTGCTTTCGTTCCGAGGAAGGATAGGCACCGTGGATTTTGTTTCCGTGCGTTAATTTCAAGCCACCCCCTAGGAAGTCACAGAGACCTAAGTGTCAGGTTTCATCACATCCACCCTGTACCAGAGGAAAGAGCAGTTCACAAGATCGGCTGTACAAATGTTGTAAATGTTAGTCTAATTAAATTTGTAACGTTCTGTAAAATCCCACTTTTTGGTAATGAAGCTATAGTAAAAATTTTGATTTGATTGTTTATTAAAGTCCAATGAACGATTACCAAAGAGTAGGATAAATTTTTGTGTTTATTTAAATAAGTCCCAGCCCACGCTGGAGTAAAAAACGATTACCTGTTGTTGAAATTTTCAAACTGTAGAGGATGGCCACCCCTTGAGTAAATTAGTCTCACCTGGTAGGATTTTTTATTTAGTTTAGTTGTCATTGTTAAGCTATTTTTTTTACAAGGAGGAGAGAAGAACTGCTAGATCCCTGTAATTTGTTTGTATCTCTAATATCAGTTAAATATATTATCTATTTGATTTCAATGTGCCTATGTCTTTAACGAAGAACGAGGGGAAGGAAAGAGAGGAGTAGGAGTTGCGTCAGGAGACTGGTAGGCGGCAGGTTAAGGTTTGTTACGCAGTTTCAAAAGAGTTAAAAGCTCACCGATTTGAGTTAGCCGGAGCATTTATTTTTATCCATTGAGCAGCCTGAGAAGAAGACGGTTTGCCTTGCCGGGCGGAACCGATGGTAATTTTCAAGTCCAGAAGGAACCCCGTAGCAAAAATGATACCAAGAGTCATGCAGTTGCCAATTTTGTTATTCGATTTCGGAGGTGTTGGAATTAAGAAAGACAGAAATAAGAAAAATAAAATGAAATAAAATAAATAAAATAAAATGACAGTTCAAGCAATTTTTTTTTAATCTTTGCAAAATGTCGGCAAAGTATCAGTGACTAAAATGCTCATTGTCATGGGTATGCAAACATTTACAATAAACGGAATAGATAGAGACACGCTCAGTTTTATTTTCGCCTCCCTATCTACATCACTTCTTTATATTCGGGGGAATATCGTGAGTTGGATGTATTTACGTAATTCGGAAGTAGGGAATGCTATAAGTTTTTACCTTGTTGCATTCCATTTCAAAATCGCAACTCAAATTGTCAAAGAGTCAAATTGTATAGTATGAAAAGTTCGTTGGTGACACATGACTTCAAAAATAGGTGTGACTGACGTGAAAGCTAAAACATGAAAGACAGAACAAATAATAAAATGTAACATGAACAATTTTGCATTTAGATTAAAGAGCTAATGGCTGCGGATGGGATTGAGATTCAATTTCCGCATCTTATTTGTTAGAAAACTGTGCACATATTTTAATGAAAGATGGAGCTCCAATTTTGAAAAATTGATCTAGTATCAGAAACGGTGCGAATTGTCCACTTTTAAGTAAATTAAATTATAATATACGGTACAATAGTGCATCGCTCTTGTGTTAGGTATCAATTTTATTTTTTCTAATCCGAACAGAACAAAATCCAAAAACACACAGTTACATCTACCAGAATAAGCCATAAAACATAATCGTAATATTTGAGAGCTGTATAAGCAAGCAATAAGCTCTATAAAAGCTGAGACATGCTGCACCACAATCGGTATAGTGAAGGGGAAAGTTAAAAAGGTTTCGAAATAAAATGTAGCAACTTCCCGAAAACTCGAGGAGAGTAAGAGAAAACGGGGAAAGTAGTATAAACCGCGATAAGATTTTATGACAATATATAACCCGAAGCAGCGGTAGGATTAATACGAAAATCGCTTAAGTTGAAGAATGTTGACGAATAACGTTTAAAGTTAATAAAACCTCACTCGACTTTAGTGGAAAGTATTTCATTATGCGTCGTATGTCAGGGAGAAAGCTGATGGCATTTCTTTCAGTTCGATCACTCAACTACAGGATTGTATGAAGAAAACTAAAGTTTAATTGTTTCTAGATAAACTTTCGACGCAATTTTTTTCAAAATTCCTACTACGAAAGGTCGCACCCCTAAATGGGGTTGCGAAAAAAATTCTGATTTCGACGAAATTTGGTAAAGTAACTGGGGAGAGCGCGGTATTACAACCGACACCTCTACGGGTAAATTATTGTCAGAGCGCGATCTAAAATCGCTACTCTAACCAGGGAACAGGAATGTGGTACCTACTATCAGGGCAATGATTCTAAGACCCTCTTTCGAGTTCGGTTTCTCTTTATATAAGGAAGTGGGAATGTAATGGTGATGGTCTCCGAAACTAGCGCTCTCTCCTGATAGAAATTTACATTAATTCCAGATTCCTACAGGAGTCAAATTACGAATTAAATATCGACTTAAATCGTTCATTTTTTAGGTAGAAAAGAATCTAAGAGACTGGCTATATATAAATCGGTAACCTCTGTCTCGGATTTTACTCTTAAATTATTTTTAAGGTTGCCTTATTTAAATAAGAAAATTCATAGAATTTAATTTCGTAAAATCGATTATTTTCGGTCACTTCTCATTGGGCCCAAAGTTGAAAATTCTCTAAAACTTTTCGTATTGAACCTAATTTCCATCTTCAATAATACGTAAGTTACCCATGCAACTTTCCTAGATCTTCGGCGTTCTTTGTTATGACGTAGATATGTACTTTTAAAAAATAAGGTTTGATGCGTAGCTCCCATGAATATAGGAGAATTTTTCTGAGATTTTTCCTAGCAAACATGATATTATATGGAACTTTTCAATCTCCACAACGCGATAATATAAATACTGTAACGTGATTTATAAATTCGGGTTCGATTTATATCAATATTTATTAAACAAAACTAAACACTATAAAAACTGTACAATTTATATCGACTATTTATATCACACTTCGCAATTTATATCAGATTTTCGCGCTCAATGTTTCGTCCGTACTCGATCTCGTTCGATAGTAAAACTGCCGCGATGTTCGGTCCGCAACCATTTATACACGCAAGCAATGTAAGTCCAGAACATTCGCGTAATTACCAGATACGTGCAAACGTTTCCACTATCGCGCGCCTAGAAAATTCCAGAGCGCCAAAGGCGACGTCATGTCTGGAGCGTTTCCGTTACAATACAAATTAATTTCTAGCTTTCCGTCTTCCATTCCGATGCACGCCCTTAATTCAAATTCATTTTATCTCCATGAAATAGAATCGAAAGATCCGTATGCAATTACGCTTGCATTGACAGTCTAAGTTTTTTCAGATCGTCAATATGTTCGATCTTGTAATATTTTATTGTACTAAGTATATTAACATGAAAAAAATATATTATGAGATTTTTACCATTATGTTTTTTTAAGTTTAATGAAATGTTTGTACTAATTGCTATATTCTATTGCAGGATTCTTACGGCGGAAGCGCAGGAATAACAAGAGCGAAATGAAGATTCCTCCAGGAAACTGCATTTACAACTTTTAATTAAGATGAGCGTCAAGTGTTTGTGGAAACATAAACTTCGAATACATTTTTTAAAAGAAGTGAATAAAGTCGTAATAAGAGAACATATAATTCAACCATCTTCCAATTTTAAGTAAATTACGAAAGCGGACATGAGAAATTCTTCATTAAACGATGTCGTGTCAACTCCAAGCCCGTGGACTATAGGTGAAAATGATTCGTGCATTTTGGTTCCCGACTCGTCGATGGACTGTTACACTTTTATAATAAATGGAATTTTTTTAAATGGAATCGGCCTGTTGGGAATTTTGGGTAATATCATTTCGATGATAATTTTATCAAGACCACAAATGAAATCGAGCATCAACTACCTTTTGATCGGTTTAGCGCGCGTCGATACCGTTTTAATAATCACCAGTGTATTGTTGTTCGGACTATCGGGGATTTACCCGTACACAGGACAATTATTTACTTATTACTACGTGGTTTATCCTCATATTGTGCCCGTAATATACCCTCTATCAATGGCGACACAGACTGCTTCCGCTTATTTGACGCTAACCGTAACATTAGAAAGATTTGTAGCGGTCTGCCACCCGCTTCGGGCACGTTCTTTGTGTACATACGGAAGGGCAAGGGTTTACGTAGTTGTAATAATTATATTTTCATTTGTATATAACTTTCCTAAAGTGTTTGAGGCTTCTATTAAATCGGAGTGGTACGAGGACGCAAATTTAACAGTGTATTGTATTAGACCAACAGAATTTAGAAGTAACGACGTTTATGTGAACGTTTACGTGCATTGGTGTTACCTAATATTCATGTACGTGGTACCCTTTGGCAGTCTGGCTGTGTTGAATGCTGCGATATACAAACAAGTAAGTACACGCTGTCGATTCATCTTTTACCAAAAGTGGAAACTAATCCCAAATTGAATACATTTTGTTTTTAAATGGAGTAGAATCACCATGAGTAGAATGTGCTTTCTACCCAAGCGTTGAGTGCAAAATACCCAAGTTAGTTACTTACTTTTATTATGAACGTTCAGTTAGACATATTGCTACTCTGTTTTTGTATGCAAACTTAAAAAATGTTACTAAAGACAAGCTTGGGCAACGCAGATATGTGTCTTCTTAGGTTGTTAACTCACTTTCCTACCAAGTTTGTCAAAATGTGTAAGTTGTTGAGCCTCACTGGATACCCTTTTTTAAGAACTATTGCGATACCGATACTCGATGCTCCAAAGGTGTAGCGATCCAGTTTTTAAGTTTGTATTTTACTTTTAGACAATATGCAAGAAAGAAAATGTGGATCTTCTGCAAATAACACATTTTCCAAGTACTGATTTCACCGTTTTTCTATCCACTAATATCCACTATAGACCGAGAGGCAGTCTACATAGTAACTAAACCATAAGCGACAAAATATTCGACAATACAGGCTGAAAGTACGTTCAAAACTAGTAATAAAATCGCTCGTCTGCCAGTCATAAATGGCGGCATCAACTTGGGGTGGCGCCGAAAAAAGTGATTCTTTCGGGGATCAACTAAATTACTAAACTATAAGGGACACGGGAAGGATTTATATCAATAAATCCGATTTTTCCCATAGTTTTCAAATATGCTCCATATTCCAACTAAAAACCTTATATCACTGCAGAATAATATAGTTGAACCGGGACGGAGAGGCAGTGGAATACCAGTGCAGTGTACACGCTATGAGAGCGCTACACTAACTATTGTAAGTTACCGCCAAGGTGCGTCAAATGCCTAGGAGGGCACCATTGCTCTGAGTGCACCAAAAATCGAGACAAAAAATGTTAACTGCGAAGTAGATCATACTGCCAACTTCAAAGGTTGCCAACAACTAATCAAGTAATCAGCAACAAAAACCCAAACCAGCTTAATAACCGACCCATATTACTTCTTATTAAGGTGGCGTTTACATTGAAACATTGCAAATTTGTTTCCACAATAATTGCCTTCTGGGTCAAAATTGTTGGTTGGAATAACATTCATTCAAATATATAATACCCCAGCCGCACACTCGTCGAGTAGCATGAGAAGTAGCGTGATGAGGAGACAGAGACGTAGTGTGGCCATTTCACTCGCAATGCCGCACGTCATGCTCCTCGTTCTGCCAACCGCTCCATGTTTTGTCGGTTTTTTGGGCGCGAGTCAAAGGATCGGCAATACGAGCGCGAGCGACTGGCCACATAATCGCGCGAAGCGCTGGCAGAAAGCATCATCCTTATTTTTTTTAATGACGAATAGATCTTAGATGTCATCCAACATCTGCGGTAGTGAAGACGACGAGGACGTATCCCTTTTTAGGAAACTGATGTAATTAGCTATACCAAAAATGCATAGCCAACAGTTTCGACATCCATCGTGTTGCAAAGGCAAATGCCAAATGCGGAGTGAGGCGATTAATTGCACGAGTAAAGGAGTGTGTGGACAAAGAGCGAAACATCGCGGAAGCACGTAGAGCAGGGCGATGGGCAGCGCGAGGAGCATAGTGTGGCTGAGGCATAATGTAACGACATTTGCATGAAACAAAAATTATTTAGCTAATTCCTGCACTTTCGCCGTTATTCAGGAAATAAGATATTAAAAAACTGCCATATAAAATATATATCTTTCATTTTTATCACACACTGATAATAATTTGTTACCAAATTTAACTTCATTCACAAGCTAAAACCTTGAGCAAACATCCGTCGTTAACTCATCTTTTTACCTCGAAACAAAGTTATTGAGGAAATCGCAAGGTAACTTTTGCACTTTTTGTAAACGCCACCTTACCCTCTTTCAGTCCCAGATTCGAAGTATTTACTATTTATTTGATTGTGACTGCATTTAATTATACTAATAGTCCATGGGCCAGTCAACATGACGGTACAATTTGAGGGTACCAATTTTCCTTATCACAGTGGTTATACAGGTTTATTAGGATGCCAAAAAACCATGATTTCCATCTCAAAGCGGTAGCTAATAGAAATGGCGGTCAATCAAAGATGGCGGATATTGAGTTTTATCAAATCAACTATATCTCTGGAATTATTGATCCAATTTCATTATTCTTTTTTTGTAATGAAAGCTCGTTATATGTGCTATAAATATTGTTATAAATACTTTTTCGATAAAATCAACTGTAAGTAATTTAAAAAAATGTTTTTTTTTAATTTTTTTCCGAATTTTCTTTACTACCTGTATTAATACACAATAAATGGTAAAATATGCGCATATATATGCAGAATATTAATGAAAAATATGCAAACAATTTTCATGTATATGCACACATATGCAAAATTATATAATAAGTATGTTGCATAATTTCTAGTGTAAATGGAATTACGATAAACACTAGCAGTAAGATGTTTCTCTAAGTTTTCTGCACGAAATGATTGCCTCCTGTCGCTAAGAATTAATTTATAAGCACTAAGCAGAGAAACGTCTCTCTACAGTCTACATCAACAAAAGTAATAGGTGCATATTAGACAACGACAAACTATTGGGAGCAATTTTCAAACCTTCCACAATATCACCCATCAACATCTTAGAGAAAGAGAAAGATAAAATAGTTTTGAAATGATGAAATTAAACATTAATTAAATCAACAAATTTTCCTTCCAGCTATTGCAGTATGTTTTATGATCGCGTCCGTTATAAAAATCCGCAAAAATGTATTAAAAATTCAAATTAAAATCTATTAAATCTAACAACAATTTAAATACACATCTTAAAATATGCAAAATATGCAAGTCTATCATGTAAATGTAAAGAATATCAAAATATGCAAAAATAAATTTGGTTTAATTGCAAATGTTGCAAATCGAAAATACACAAAATCTCATACGAGTACAATCAAAAATAAACGATATTCATTTTGCATATAAGTATTCAGAGCTTCAGCTGATCAACAAATTGAATAAAAATAAAAATAAAATGAGTGCTTCCAAACATCAAGAAGATAGTGAAAATATGCAAAATGTATCATAATATATAGAGAGATTTCACCTTTTAGTGAATTGCAGTCTCCAAAATACAGGCAATCTTAGGCAGTGTTATACAACGTTGCTAGTAAGTACGAATTTGCAGACTTCTTCTGATAGTAAACGTTCAAACCCATAACAACCAATTCATAACCGTTTGAAACGAAAAAAATTAGGCCTACGAATCCAATATAAATATAAGAAGGAAAGCCGATCTATGGAACCATTACTTCAGGTTCTTCACATTAACACTGAGAAGCTTCGTGAAATTACTGTAGCAAAACGAAATGCAAAAATAATTGTAGTTACGTCTACAGATATATTGTATAGCTGAAGATACATGTTAAGATCAGATCAAATACAAAATGATGATGAAATTGGTATATGCGGATTATGTTTCTGTAACTTCACTTCTCTACTTTAATTGAACTTGTATCTCGATTTGGACGAGACTAGGTTCGTTGTATTTCCAGATGTAAAATTGGCTTTTTAATGGTGGAAAAACTCCCTTTAACGAGTACGAAAACCTTAAAAAAAGGATTCACCCAAGCGAGGCCTGCTCGATAAACACAGCACTTCGACTAACTTCTTCGTAAAACGTGAAACACGCTTCCGCTTAACTTTAAACATGAACTTTACAACTGACAAGACTGACCGTCTTGCAATAAATACGATCAAATACGGCTTCAGCTATAACGTAAGCAAAGAGTTTGCTAATATTGATGGAAAGGTGTATATTGTGCCAGATAATTTGACATAGATTATGTGAAAACAAAAAATACCTACATTGGAAAATTGTACGTTAAAATCAAAGATAGCTATTCGGGAAGCAACAAAGAAGATGAAAGATAACCCTATGTTTGGCTTCCATATTACCTCACGTAGAATTATCAAGCGGCTGTTGTTCAAAATCGTGACAACTACCATTATGTAATGCTAATAACCTAAAGTGTACAAGAGCATGCAAACTTCCAACTTGTGAAAACGTCACTGAAGAAGAGGAGAAAGTAGCAGATTTTAGTGTATATGAAACTTTTGAAAGTGACGAAGGGATTGTTTTAGTTTTCATTAAATGTTAATTAAGAGTTACAAACATTTTAGTTACTTTACGTTACTTCATGCATTAGTTACTAATCGTTGATTTTAACGAAAAAGTAGTTATGACAATATTGTAGCATACACAAAAGCTTTCATTTAAGAAAATGATGGAGTCGGACCAGTAGTTCTAGAGAGATATAGTTGATTTTATAAAACTCAACCGCCATCTTGGATTGGCCGCCATTTCTATTAGCTACCACTTTGACTTGGCAATCATGGTTTTTTTACATCCTAATGTCTAACCGTGGTAAAAAGGAAAATTGGTACCCCCAAATTATAACATTTGCTTAAATTTAGTCCATATACTATAATTTTGTGAGTGTCTTTTACAATTTTGAATTCAACAAGCAAGTATTAATATACCTATAATATTGTTATAATTTGCTTTCTACGGTAATTTTTAACAAGGAATCTGATTCTGCTGTCAGATTAGGATTTGGATACTCAGAAACAAATTTATACGAGCGATTACATTTGCCTCATCGAAATGTAATCGTAAGACCGGGGCAAAGGTAATCACATGATTACATTTGCCACAGCCTCTTCCTTCTTGGCGTTTTAGCTAAGAGTGGGTACTCTTTGGTTTTAGGTTATAATCTAGCACATTCCTTATTGTTACAGGCTAATAAGAAAAGTGAATGGCAAAAGACTAAAGTAAATTATCAAAACAGTGACTAAAGTAAGTAAACTAGATGAACATGGTGAGAAAGTATAAAAAAGAAGCAAGCCCTTTCGTACAGTGCTGAACGTTTAAAACATGCGCTTAGACAAATCGAACTAAACGGT